AAAAGAATCATGGTGCAGGCTGTTTGGATAAACTTTACTTGATTTTGAACCTTACTCGTGTGTGTGTGCGTCGTATTATACGCTTACAAGATGTGTCCTTTTACTTATGCGGCCTGTCTTTTGTATGCCCGTGTCTGTGTATGTTCCATGTGATTTTTGCCAGAGAGATAAATGTAGTCTGTGCCTCTGATGTTGACGTCGACTTTGCCAGCTCTGGGAGTTGTTTTCCTGTGCGCAGATGGTGGGAACAGAGTGAAGCAGGTGCTGGGTGAGGTTCGTCTGTGTTGTGTTGTTTTTTATCCCAGAGTTTGTCCTAAAGGCATGGCTTCCTCTGCTGTGATCACCTGGTGAACAGATGACGGGGATGATTTTCACTGGCCGGCCGTCCATGTTGCTGGAGGTGTGATTTACTTCATCTGCCCTACTGTGAGGCAATTTACTCTGGTAAATGTCTCATCATTAGAATGTAATGAGAACTAGATTTAGGGAATGTTGCTTGCTACTGCCACAAGGCTAATGTGTCTAAATGGTTTTCAGCATGTCAGTATATGTTTGCTAATTTGTTTTGAATTATTATTTTGTTGCTCCTCTGGGTGGTTGCTAGACTGTTGTAAAGAGGTTTTTGAGCAAGATTTTTCACCTTCATTACTCACCAGGTGGAAATTGTTTTATACACCTGACTTGTGGCTAGGTTTAAAATGATGTTTTAGAAGATATAGTGCATTTGAACCTCGTAAGATGTTGATATTAAAATAAATTGCCTACTTTCTGTTCATGTTCTGTTGTTTTTCATCTGAGTTCTCCTAAGACTGTACTTTGATTTTTTTTGAGCTGCAGGTTGTGTATTGTGCATCTAGTGGAACGCCTTCAAAAGTTATTACTAATATGCCAGATGGTCTCAGAAGTCTGTCATGCATTATGGTTTTGTTTATTCTTCATTATCTTTTAAACAAAATATTACAGGATGTCTGGAGACATCTTGTTGCCTGGCCAGATGTTTGCTTGGGTGATGGCACGTTTGGCGCATGACATTAAAAACAAAACAAATTAAAAACATATAATAATAATAATATTTAAAAACTGTGTACTGATGTTTGAATATATTGTGATGGTAGTAGCATTCTGCAGTTATGGTTATATCATGGTTCTTAATGATTACCATGTGTCATGGTCTTTCATAGTAGTACAATATAATTCATAGAATACAAAAAAAAGGGTGTTAACATGGTACAGTGTCCAAAAGACATCTCATTTGATCTGCGATATTATGCAATACAGTTGCCCATTTTGAAATGTTCTGCCTTTATCCATAACATTAAAAATAATAATACTAATAATAATAATAAAATAAAAAGTAAGTACAAGTGTATAAACCATTTTTTTCCCCTGTGCAGCTTGACTCTTTTATCTGTTGAAGTGTTTCCATTTCCATTCATAACATTTGCTAACCGGCCCCATTGTTTTCAAGCTTAAGACAACAGACAGTGTGCACAGAGAATCCCAGGAGTGTTTGAAAGTTTAAAGAATGGCTTAGCCTTTCTCATTTTTCTGCATTTTACTTTGAGGGAAGTTTACTTTCAGTGGCTGAGCTCCTGCTGGAGATTAATGAACACATTTGGTCGGGGCTGCATTGTTCCCATCGAAAATGCCCATCTACAGTGCTATGATTTATGGACAGCCGGCAGTGCATGAGCTGTAATTTGAGAGGGGTTTGTTTTTCCTCATGAAGATGGAATTTTAAAATTTTGAGATTAATAACAGCACTCTAGTCATTTATATAGTACTGCAGGGAAAAATAGATCGGGAAGAAGCAGAAAGTACAGACCAGAAGTGTTAGCCTTTTGATGTCATGTGCGATGGCTGTGTGTGTGTTCAGAGGTATTTAGTCATTGATGTCACTTTCTGCATTAATTGTGAGAGTTTAATGAATATGTGAGTAAATTCAGCATGAAATATAGAGGCATGTATTATATCAAAATAGTTGATCGGCAGTTGCTGAATATTTATCTTGAGTAGGTCAGCTTCTGATCTTCATTTTCTTCTGCTTTGATCTGCTGTGTTTTTCACATAGTTGAATTAATGCAGTGTTCATTCTCATGGGAAAGAAAAATCTCAAATGAGATTTTATATCTTGATTTTTTTTTTTTTTATGAGAATAATGGAGAGCATATGGAGACTTTTACTAAAGGCTCTGGCTTCTTAGATGCTTCTTGTGAGGAAAATAAATGTCTTAGATGTATTTCCTTTAAAGTTTCATAAGATCCCAATGTCTCAAAATGAGCTCAGAGGGATTTTCTCTCCACCAGCACAAGCAACAAGTAAAGCTCAGAAGGCAATTTTGGGCCCTGGGCCGTTGGACAGGTCCTGAAACCCCCCTGGGGGTGTTTGCGGAGTCATGGGTCTGGTTTGTTATGTACATGTGTATATATACTGTATATATGTATGTATGTATATATATATATATATATATATATATATAAAGCATCCTAGATCCCAATGTCTCAAAATGAGCTCAGAGGGATTTTCTCTCCACCAGCACAAGCAACAAGTAAAGCTCAGAAGGCAATTTTGGGCCCTGGGCCGTTGGACAGGTCCTGAAACCCCCCTGGGGGTGTTTGCGGAGTCATGGGTCTGGTTTGTTATGTACATATGTATATATACTGTATATATGTATGTATGTATATATATATATATATATATATAAAGCATCCTCTGAGCAATAACATTCCGTATACAATTCCATGTCACACTGGTTTTGAGAGGAACTCTCATGAAAACACATGGCACAGAGCAGAATGCAATATTACTTAGTATTCATTTCATTGTTTCAGATAATGTTTCATGTTTTCTTTAATTAAAATATTACGCTGCATGCTTTATCTGTCAGCTCAGTACTGCTCTCTTTAACACAACTGCAGGTTTAAGAGTATTACACAGAAACGGCTCAAGAGAGAAGAAATCTTTGATGTCCCTGACATGCCATGAAATGAGACAAACCATGCAGCAATGAATCTTCAGCTGTTTTATGTGTATTGCACCTTTAGGCCAGACACTCAAGCTAGAGAAGTAACAAGCAAAGCTCAGTGTCTCCTTACAAGACAGTGAAACAAGAGCAACGTTTGAAGTCTGTGGCCATGCATCTTGTATTACTGTAGCTTACCCAAATACATGCTTAATTTTGGCAACTATTTTCTAATCATCCAAGTACATCTGCTACTTACCTGCATGAGGAAATACCAAAATCTGCAAATTTGTTTGCTAATCTTTCACATAACAAATCACTACAACATGTGACAAAATTAGTTCAAAAATACCAGGTTGGTCCAGCTATTAACAACATGGATTCTAGAGATAGGCTAAGTTGATTTGGCCATGAATGCACCATGTATGACATTGGAAAAGATCAACATCCTTGTTTGGGGTGTCCAATCCTGCTACTAGAGGGTCACTATCTTCCCTAATCCTAATCCAAACACACTTGAACTAGCAATCAAGGTCTACAGGATTACTAGAAATGTACAGACAAGTTTGTTTGGGTAGCTTGGAGTTAAACTCTGCAGGACATTGGCCCACCAGGAGCAGGCTTGGACAACCCTGTTCTTATTGGTCCTAGTACAGGGGTGCCCAAACCTATTCGCAGAAGGCCAACACAATGTTGAGTTGAGCTCCAACCTGGACCAACACACCTGTATGGAAATTCCCAGCACTCATCAATACCTTGTTAACCTGGTCCAGGTGTGTTTAATTAGGGTTGGACCTAAACATTGCAGGACATTGACCCTTCATGAACAGAAATGGGCTCCCCTGCCCCAGTAGAACAAGGGTGTCCAATCCTTCCCCTGGAGGGCCAACATCCCTCAGATTTTAGCTCCAACCAACTCCAACACACTTGTCTTGACATTTCTAGTGAGTCTAAAACCATTAAATAGCTAGTTCTGGTGTGTTTAATTAGAGTTGAAGCCAAACTCTGCAGGATAGTGGCCCTCCAGGAACGGGTTTAGACATCCCTGTAGTAGAATATGAATAATCTATTTATTAAACATGTTTAGTTTTAGTCTAAGGATTAGATTGTCCTGGGCACAAGACTTCAACAACATTCATGTCAAACCTATGAATTTAGAGTTGATTAATGGCTTGGGTTTGAATTGAGTCTGGGTTAGAACAGCAGTGTTTTTCCAGGACCAAAAAAAAAAAAAAGGAGCAGCTCCTTCATGGCAAAATCCTGGTGACCACTCTGCTGTAGAGTTTAGCTCCAGTCCTATTAAAACACACCTGAACCAGCAAATCAAGACCTTCAGAATTACTAGGCTGCGTTCCACTCAACTTTTAGACACGCACTCGCAAACTTCCCTAAGAACTTCCCCTCAGGGAATCCCCACTGCCATTTTGAAGTGTGTTCCACTTCGTGAAGTGAACGAGGGAAGTTTATATGGACAGACCCTCGATTTTGACAGAGGGAGCGAGTCTGCTTCATATGCACACTTCAGGCCACTCCACAGACCACAGTGCAACACGATTATAACGTCATCGCAGATCGCGTTTAATTTATCCCCACCCCGAACAACTCTATAATATATAAATAATTTTTTAAAACATTTATAACAGCCCAAACATGCCTATATACATATAGAATGCTGCACCAAACAAATTTGTAAGGGGAAAATGTAAACAATAAACCAACTCTATAGCAGATTCTAAGTGATCAAGTGCTTAGGCCGTTCCAGTTCAGCCCATTCCAAGGGTTCTGCCAGTAGTGGGCTCTCGTGCAACGTAATCAATGACGTACATCCGAGTGAACGACACGGAGGGAAATTTGCAAGTGAAGGGCTTAAAAAAACAGACTGGAACGCAGCCCTAGAAACTTTCTGGCAAGTGTGTTGGGGCAGGTTGGAGCTAAACTGTGCAGGACTTTGGTCCTCTAGGAGCAGGATTAGACTCCCCTGTCCTACAGCCTCCAGAAATGCTTCCATTATTTTTTTGATGGGTGTCTCCTCATGGAGTCTTGAGCAGATAGTAAATGGCTGTAATTTCAGGATAGTTCATGGTGGGGAAAGTCTTGAATGTTCTTTCTTTTGGAATTCTGACATTTCTCTCTTGTCCTTTCTCTTCCAGGGTGGTCTGATTGCTCTTCTGTTAGTTATCCTACTCTTCACGCTGGTACTCTACACCCGTCAGCGCTGGTGCAGGCGTCGTCGTGCCCCGCAGAAGAGTGCCAGCACCGAGGCCACACATGAGATTCACTACATCCCCTCTATTCTTTTGGGCCCTCCGCAGAGCAGGGACAGCTTCCGTGGGCCCAGACCCCTCCAGCACAGCTCTGTCATTGGTATGCCCATCCGCGAGACCCCCATCCTCGACGACTGCGACTGTGAAGAGGACGAGCAGCCCGGACATCTGCTAGATGGGAAAGCACATCTAGAAGATGACTTGTGCAGCCAGGGCACCCACAGTGTGGACAGTCTGGGGAAAGGCATGGGAGAGGCCAACCATAAACACAGTCTTGATAACAGAGGTGAGAGCTCCAGCATTACTGTCACTGTCTGTTCTCTATTAGATCCAACAGATATATTTTGAGAATATTTGCGGGTGGTTGAGATGTTTGGATCTGATCCCTTAGACGTTTTAATTGTTTGTTGGTCTGTCTCTGAGTTTGAGTGGGAGAAAAGTCAAGTTTTATCGTCCATTACGTCCATCCAGCATGATTTGCCAAGAACAGGTTTCTGGAACAACATTAAGATTTTAGGGTTAGGTTTAGGAATTGGAGTTGGGAGTAGCTGAGTTAGGGACTTTGCCAGTTTTCTTGACTCTAAAGCTATGACTGTGTTCCAGGGCAAAATATCATGCTCATGGTTGTTTTATCCCTTCCTAATCATCACAGCTGAAGTTAACCAATAACCGTAAGCAATGCTTGTCTCAAAACAGTCTGGTGTACTTTAATACGTTATTTAAGTGTGTGGCACAATTTAATTGGCTCTTGCAGTCTGGAGCCCGTGGCGCTGATATTGGCGCATGTCTGTGGATGAAGGATGAGGATCCATCTGAGTGATGTTGACAAACAGAAGGAGGTAGAGGCTGAATAAATAATGAAGCACATTTTCCTGGCGTCAGGCCCGCACTTGCTCCAGGACTTCCGTATCGGAACCAGCTCTCCGGCATTCATAATTATTTCAATTAATTCATTATACAGGTGGGGACCTTACGTGCAAATATGTCCTTAAATCTGGAAAAATAAACCAGATCAACAAATCACAAGGGAGCAGTTTCCTTATGCTTTTTAATTCCTTTTCTTTTTTTCATTTGTGATGAAGGGGCATAGTAATTTTCCCTCTGTAAAGAATCCTCTAATGTCTTACAGCACGTAAATGCTAAAAATGTTGAACAAAATGTGTTTAATTCTATTGACAGAGTAATTCAAATGTTAAAAATAGATTTAATGAATAGAAGTAATGCAATCACTTGAGTGTACTCATTCATGACTGATTCTTAAAACACTTAAGTTCACTTTTTAATCATATCAAATACACGTTTTACTTTGCAATACATTTAAAATCATTGTTTTAAATACACATTTTTTACACAACACTTACACACATTTTGAAGTGCTAACTAACATACTAAAGCAAATGTAAAGTACTCGATTATAATTTCTACTGTAATGTGTTAACTGTAATATTACATTTAACATTTTAAATGTTTTTAAACTTCATCATACACAACATACAGATTCCAATAGAAATGAAAAAAAAAATTGTTTAACTTAAATACATCTTAATATGTAATTTCACAATTATACTGTCTTTGAAATATGATAAAAGTGCACTGCTGAATGAACTGACAAGCATTTATGGTAGTGCTGTCAAATCGATTAATCACATCCAAAATAAAACTTTGTTTACATAGTGCATGTGTATGTACTGTGTATATAGATATACACACATACAGGTATTTATTTGAGAATAAAATGTAATATACATATATATTTATATGAAAATGTGTTCATATATGAAAATGAATATATCTCCTTGTAAATATTTCTTAAATATATGCATGTATGAGTGTGTATTTATACAAATAAATATACACAGTGCACACACATATACTGTGTAAACACAAACTTGCATTGTGGATGCGATTAATTATGATTAATCGATTTGACAGCACTAATTGAAGTCCTACAAATAGCACTCTATAGTTCAGTTAATTGCATTTCACTCATAACTCATTTTCATTTAATCACAGTGTCCGAAAACATTACATTTATTTCACACCTAAGTATATTATTTTGGGTAAGTGTACTTAAAAGTATGCAAAAGTGAACTTATTTTTCACAAGGGATCATAAAACTGATAAATGGCTAAAAGCTTTCCGCTTGTCATAACTTCATTATACTAAGCTTCATTACTTGACCATTTATTTTTAATATTCTAAGAACTTTAAAATGTGCAGTTTTCACCCAAAATATAACTTTATTTGAACATTTATTTTTAATATTCTAAAGTTAAAACAAAGTTTTCTTCTCATGATTGGAATGTTATTTAAAGTTTATTATTAAAAAAAATGTTTCTTAGAATGTATATCAAACATATCAAATATTTTAATATGTCCCATAAACATTACTTTAAGAACATTTTGTATATACATTTTAAAAATATAACTTTTAAAAAAACATTAGAGTAAGTTGTGAGAATGTTCCCTGCTAGCTGGGTTTCTGTGTACCTGACTGTGTTTCTTTTTTGAGATGTACTTTTTATATATTTGTGGGCATTTCTGTTGAAAATCTGTTGAAAATCTACCCTCTGCCTTTAGCTTGTTTCATACGGGACCTTGAACTTCCTGTATGGATCAGAACTCTGCCTGGGGTCTTTAATACAGAGTCACCCTGCTCTAAATCCTCTGAGACTGGCGACACAGGCAGGGGGCGCCGCTGGGCGGATCCGATAGCAGACGTCCTGCATGGAAATACTGGCCTTGTTTCAGGGTTTAGTAGCCGTTCGCAGTGACAGCATCAGATATGTGTTAACCGCTGTGAGAAGGGACCAGCGGAGAGGAGAGCTGATATGAGACCTCGAGGTTTTCTGAGAAGAGGTGATGGCCTTTGCTCTACCCCTCATTCCAGTCAGACCGGTTCTCATGTCCTGTGTGTTTGTGTGTGTGTGTGTGTGTGTTTTGCTGTGTTGTTCTGCAGATAGGGCTGTTAGGAGCTTTGTAAGCTCAGGGTGTCAAACACAAAAACACACCTCACTTTTATTAGATAGCGACAGCAAGGGATCTCTCTCTCTCTCTCTCTCTCTCTCTCTCTCTCTCTCTCTCTCTCTCACACACACACACACCGGCAAACACAGATACACGTATGAACACTGTTTCTCAGATATGCGGTTTAACCATACATGCAGAACAAATTATTCGTGATTTTTTTTTTCTTGTTTTCCAGTAAAAATAATTTATCTGATAAGTAAAAATATGTAAAATATTACTTATTTTATAGAGAATAAATATTCAATATAAATGTGTTTTGTGTCACTGGCAGGTTTTTCTTACAGTTATGTTAAGCATATATGTGAAAAATACTCAGCAAAAAAAATAAAAATCTGAAAAATAAATGTGACAAATCGAAGTTTAGACATCAATTGAAATGATGGCATAACGGCAAATTATGAGATAAGATGTCATAGCTTTGGCAAAAAGTTGAAATTCTGAGATAAAAGGTCATAGTTATGACAAAACATCAAAATTCTGAGATAAAAAGTCAGTTATGAAAAAAGTCAGAATTATGAGATAAAAATGTAGTCATGACAAAAAGTCAAAATTATGAGTGATACAACATAGTTATGGCATAAGTGGAAATTATGAAATAATTACTTTATGATTTATAATATATATATATATTTGGATTGGTATATTCAGACAAATTATTTATTCTCTTAGATCTAATGACTTTTCACTCACATGTCTCTCATGTGGAGTCCAAACCCCAACGCAATTGCTTACAGGCTTTGGGTCGTTTGTGTGTGTGTGTGTGTGTGTGTGTGTGTGCGTGAGTGCATGTGTGTGTGTGTGTGTGTGTGTGTATG